TATATTACAGAGCGGGTACTGTAAAAGTGTGAGCGGCTCAAGTGTACCAGAATTTTTAATCTCCTGCCAACAATCAAACGTTACTTTAAAAGAACCGCATTGTATAGATTAATTTTGGCGTGCGTAAAACTTAAGCTTTTCATTTCTTCAGCTTACGTAAGTGAGCTAAACTAGAGATAAAGCGAGGGTTCTTTTACTTCAAATGATAAAACAAGAAATGTATGCTTCATGGAGAAGATCTCCCCCTACGTGATAAATTACGTGATGGTACGATGTTATTCAGACCTTTCCAGACACTCTTTGTGTCGACAAGCTTCGATCATTACTTACAGACAGGTCTATCGTTTTTAATCATTTCTTTGCTATGGAGATCTGTGTCGGACGTGCTTTGTCACCTTCCTGTGGCTTAAATTTTGTTTTTCTCATTTGTAGTTAGATTTTTCATTCGGATGGGTCGGCAAACCATACTTATGTTTCAATTAATTCTGAATTCTAATACTTTTATTTTACTGAAATATTTTCACTTTAGAATTTTTGGTTGAAAAAGTAATCCAATAAATCATGTGTGTCACGTAATCTGTGTGTTATACATGACTTTGGTTCATTCCTTTTTTTTTCTCGTAAAATTGTGTTTGAAAATTTCTGTTATGGTCTTAAAGAAATGTTTTTAGCCCTCGTGAAGCGTCCAAAATGTATTTCTGGAAAAAATTTTTTTGGTGTACGTGAACGGTTCACTGAGGAAATGAAGAGAGAGAGAATCAATACAAATAAGCAAACGTCTTTATTGTAATTACATATTGAGTGATAGTGCCAAAACTTTTATCAGATTTTTCATTGAAAATGACTAAGAATTCCTTTTTTTATTGATCACAGCTTTCATCAGTTGTCTTTGAAAATGCAAATATAATTGCAAGCGAGGCCGATGGTGACGTCATGATAGCTTACAGTTTCATATTTCCTACCATCAAGCCAATTTGTCTAGTCTGCATTGAAATTATACGCATCGTGGGGGATTTACTTCCCTTCGTCTCGTCAAACATGGAAGAAACGGCTTTTTAGATCCGCTATGTGAAATCCCGGGTGTTGTGATCGATCTACAAGGGCTTCAAATTTTTATTTCTGCCATCGTATTATGTCCCAGTTTAAAGTTGAAAAAGGTTTGGATGTACAGAGCATTTTTTCCTCCCATTCATTAACATCGACCGACTGTCGATCGAAAGAAACAGTTTGTTATGGCTTCATTCTAAGTGAATTTTCTTCTCTCCTTTTGTGTGTCATCTCTCCATTTTTTAGTCACAAAAGTGAAAGGGTTATCAGATCTCTCTGAGAAAGCTAAATTCAGTGAAAAGACAGAACCCTCCTCAAAGCGAAGTCGAGGATCTGCTATCAGTAGCGAACGCCCTGGCTCTTCTCATGGGAGGCAAACGGCGCTAAAGGTAAGACAATTGACGCCAAATCTCATCTGCCATCGCTGTTTGTATTTCTTTCATGATCTCGACAGGTTATTCTCTAAGATTTTGTGGGCCGAAGAAATTCAAGCGAATGTTGTTGTCGGCTCGCTCAATGGGTTGTGATTCTTCATAAAATTAGAAAATCTTCCATTTGTCCGTCATTGCTTGAAGGGTGTTTTTGTAGTTACGCCGTTTTCTACTGGTCACTCGGTTTACCACTCGCAGCGTTGTTCGTTCACAAGCTCAATGTCTGTTGATAAAAGATTCTTAATTCGCTGTTCATCGCATTAAAGCTACACCAACATCTCAGCAATCTTCAGAAAAACTGTTGTGCTTTGTAACAATTTAAAAACGAATATTCTCGCATTTGTATAGGAATTTAGATTTTCATCGAAAGTTGTTCGAAATCTGCTTCGTGTGGGAAGAAAAATTGACTTAGCTTACATCTAAGGTTTCGCACCTCTCAGAGCGCTTATTGCTTGAGTAAACAACACTTTTTACTTCGACATATTGTACATCCTGCCCTAAAATATTTACTTGAATATGACTGGATGTTGTGGTCGAATTTCGTGCTTTAGAGCCACCTTGGATAATTAAAAACTGTTTTTCATGCTATTTCTTTAGGCTGTCAAAGAAAATATTTTCACTTTAAATTGTTTGATTTCCTAATTTGAACAAGTAATATTGTTGACATTTTGGAAGCGACAGTGGAAGCAATTTGAACAAAATTGATTTCAGCTGATCTGTCCGACAGTTTCTTTATGGGAAAACTTTGATCGCACATCACTCTCTATTTCTTCAATCTGTAGTTAAATACACATCTGGGTATTTTCTCTATGAAATATCTATTTTTAATTCAAGATTGAATGATCATTAGTATTGGGATATGTACAGTAGGATATTGAAACTTTTGTAATTTTTGAGGGTTTCTCGCGAGTCCTTGAAACCTAAGATGTAAATTAATACCAATAGGGAAATAAAGTAAACCAAAACATATCTCTTTTCAAATTAAAAAAGATAACAACAACAGCAAAGTAGTAAAGAGAAGAAGCAATGGAAAGATTCCTATAAATTAAATTTGATCAACTGAAATTAGCATTTTTGTATTGATGGTGGATAATTGCACGCAGGATTTGATTTGGCATGCCTTAAGCTAAATGGATATTTTTAGCAACCCTGTAGAAAGTTTTGACCTTAAAACTAAAGCAGCTGTCATTTTTTCACCCTTAAGATCAAAATTTAACTCATGACTTTTGTCACCAGATAAAGGAATTGTTTTAAATTTGAAAGGAAATAAAGACTTATTGGGATTTTCAAGGATTTTGAAGACTGCATCTCATTTGATTGGTTCAGATAGCCAAATGTGGAATGGTTAATTCTTTCAATTGGTGATGGATAATAGTCACGTCTGATGCATGCAGCATGCCCCAAAACTGTAGGATTCACCTAGATGCAAGTGTAGGCATTTCAAGTAATCTTCACCATTAATTTGGTTTTTGAATAGTAGTGTGCTTTTGTAAGCTTTTGTAAGCATGCTTATTGATTCTTGTGCAGACTAACTGCATTCTGCTTGTCAGAGGATAAAATGCAAGTCAAAGTAATATAAAATATTCTGTTAATTGATTGAGAGCCCTCTACTGCTGAAAGCCTTACCTTGTATTCTTGTTTTAAGATGAGGACAATTGGCTCTGTACAGGCCTTGGTTAATGTCAGAAGTAGCCCCGTATTTTGGTTAATAGTACACAAGAGAACAAATGTTTAACATCTCGGGCTCGAAGTGTTAAAGCTAATACCAAAGTCTCACCTTGGATTGATATGTTTGATATCAGTTGATAATTAATTACTATTTATATTTATAATACAGAAAACTGCATCACCATCAAAATCCACATCCAATGAAACTGCAGGTAGAAAGTCCACATCCAATGAGGCTGCTGGTGGCAAGTCCACAGGAAAAACAACACTTTCGCATCGCACCAACCCACCAAAACCTGCAACAAGAACAAAACAAACTGCTCAGGACAATTCAACAACAGTCAAAAAGGTGAACTACACAACTAGTGCTCCATTAAACCTTTGAATTTCTATCAATAAATATTATTTCAGTTTACACTTGGTGATCGGCAAGAGGGTTTGTCAGACACCTTTATGTCATAAATTGAATGAAACAACTGCAGGGATTGCTAAGTGTGAGCAATTTGGGATTGTGACTGAACTTTGGTCATTAAATTGAATTTTCAGCTTTAACAAAAAGGCCAGCAAATGGTATATACATATAGCTGTTCAAGCTTGAATTGAAAAGAAGCAACTAATTTTTAGCTGGGTTATGAAATGCTAGAAGAATGATTTTTGCTATGAAGTTAAAAATTAGAGCAACAGTATTGCTTAAAAGTAAGTTGACAGTCCCTCAAAACTTGATTCTCAAACTTGATTTTTGATCCATGGTTCATGAAAACTTCTAGAAATATTTCCTAAAAATCCTTGAAAACTTCTTCAAGCATCTCTTTCTTTGATTTGAGCAATATTGTAATGCTAGTAATTTCTTTCCTCCCGAAAATGGTATCCACTATGGCAAAAGACAACATGTAGTTTTTGGATAATGAAAGTTTTTTACATGCATGTGGAGCCCAGTTTTACTGAAAGCCAGATAGGGATGACCAAGACTGGTTTTAACTTCACCTCTTTGCTGCCAAGATCTAATCTAATCTAGTAATTCTCCTTACTGTCTGCCATAGAATTTATGTGATGTTAGTATGGAGAATTTGGTATTGGATCAACTAATAATCACCTAATTGATATTTTTCTTTGATCTCATGACTTGTCTGCTTGATTTTGTTTCAATGTTGCAAGGAACAAATTATCTCCTGGTCACTCTTAAATGTGTTATACTTTATGAAGGCACTTTGTAACCAAGAAAGTATGATCATGTACATTGTACTGATAAATTTTTACTTACATCTTGTTTAAGCTCTTGAGCAACTGACTGAACTTGTGTCTTAAGAAATAATTGGTTTTTAGGCTGGTTGAAATGTGTTTTTCACCCCACTTAGTAGTTGATTGGGAACAGTACTTTGTGAATTGTACACTTATGTAATATGTAGCTTGAATTCTTCCCAATTCTCAGAATTACAGTGTAGACAATGAAAAAGGTATCCCAGTAGCATTGAGGTTGACTTGAACAGTTGAATAGATTTAGAAAAGTCATGGTTCAGGAAATTTGGATTTAATTTAATTTGAATTGAATGATGTCTTTTTGAATTTTTTAGTAAGTTTATGGATATTATTTATGTTTTTAATTATTTTTGCTTATACAGCTCAGATTTTCATTTCTTTAATTACATTCTACTACTTTCAAATGATGATCTTATCATAATGATGACTTACAAATTTTGTAGCAATTCAAATGGGAGCTGTTATATGAGGCTACTTTCATTCACCTTAACTGAATAAAATTCAGGATAATTTGGTGTAAATTAGCCACCGTAAAGAGTTTCTAAGCAGATGTTTTGAGTGTTAGCACTTCAAGCATTAGTCCTCTGGAGTGTAAGAGTGTATTGAATAAATTTCAGTCTGCAGAGCAATGTGCTCATGAAGAGCTGTGTGAGTTAACATTTGCCATGTGTCGGAGAAATAATCGGCATGTACTTTACAGAAGAAACCTATGTGAGGAAGTTGACACTGTAAAAAGAGGTGGATTTAGACTCAAAGGAAAAATATGACTCTTGAAAAGTTAAGGTTTTTTGTGAATACATGTAGGTTTTAAGTGCATTGGAATTCATACTGTAACTTTGTGAGTTGTGTACAGTAATCAGCATTGCTCAGAGTAATTACAGTAATTTATAACTGACTAGTTTTAGGGCTTGCTTTTAATTGTTCTGTTTTAAGTACACGTTTTTACTAGATCTAAGCAGCCACCATGGTAAAAAAATTATTTTACTGTAGGAAGAGTCTTTGTAACATGCCGATTATCATTTGTTAGGTAAAACCATATTATTTCAAGTTTGAACTTTTTTCTGCCATGAATGCAAACAAATTCATACCAGTGTGAATGCAGTTTGCTCCTTCCATAACTTCAACATGAGATGGTGTGCTACTTACAGCCATTTGTTTTTGAAAGGAATGTTTTTGTTTCGTTATTTGTAATTACTTCAACACATTACAGTTTCAGGTTCAGATGTATAATTACACAGTGACTGTGTTGTTTTTTTTTTACTTTACATTTTGAAGCTTCACTTTTTATGCTAGGAGTTTCAGAAGAAAATTTCATGTTTTGAATTTGTTGTCAGTAATAATACCACCATGCATGCAATGGATGAAATTTAACATTTGACCATCACAGATTGAATTGAATTTGAATGCATCAATGAAAGTGAATGCAACCTAATTTATCTGTGTCATTCTCAAAAACATGTCAATGCCTTGTGTTTGCAGTCAAATCTTTTGTAGGCAAGGTTAGTTACCTTAGTTCCACAGGACTTTCTTGCTTTCTGCACACTGCACTTTCTGAGGCTAGAGATCCCTGCAGAGAGTTTCAGAATTAAGAAAAGTTCCTTTCTGTCACTTTTGAAACAGAGCTGAAGGAAGATTAGTGATTGTTATTATTATTTTATGCTGGCTTAACCTATGTTTGTATGCTTTTCAGCTTTGTGTCTGTAGCTAACATCCTTCTTTCATTTCCTTAACTAATGTGCAAGGTGATTTGAATATTTAATAAAAGGTTCCTTGTTATCAATATCACACATAGGTGAGGAAAAAACGTGCCATTTTGAACACAATACACTTCTGAATTAATGAATCCTAATTTGTGCTTTTATTTGAATAATCCCTGGGAAAAGACAATGAAGTCTATTTTTAAGTGGTTGAATCACCCTTTCGGATTTAGCATCTATTGTTTTGTACTTCTGATATCAAAATTTTATGCTTGAACTTGTTGTTCTTGTGGCTCAATATTTTTATATTTTTTCTTATGCCTGTTTTTTTTTTTACAAGTTCAAATTACGATAGCCATAGATATTTATTGCAAGCAGGTATCATGCATTATTTATTACTGACCTGTTCCAAAATCTGCATTTTAAATAACCGTGACTTAGTGGTAGAGATGTAAATATATGCAAATAAAACACTTCTTTATTGATTGGAGAGGAAGTGCATTTGTTGCTACTTTCGCAAGTGAGAATATTGATAAATAGTGTTTAGGAAGCAGTATGTCTTTTATTCTTCTCTGTGGTGAAAGATATCTACAGCATGAAAGAAGCAATTTGTACAGTTTGTGAGTCCAAAGAACCTGTTATTTGTTGTGCTACTTGTGAGGCATTATATTGTGCAAGCTGTAAAATTTCCGTCCATGAAAAGGTAACAGCCAATTCTCCACAAGTTAAACCTTTGATGGATAGCTAACTTTTGACAAATTTTGTTGTACTTCTGTGGCTGCTGTTTAACCTTTTCTCCAAGGTGTTTTTTATCTCATTATTGATTCATGTCACACACGAAGATAAAAACATGTGGAGAGATTATTCTGAACAAAACACAAAGCACATGTTAAGAGCTGTTCAGAGAATACATGCATGATCCTAAAAACTTAAATCTTTCTTTATGCCAAGCTGTTTCAGCTTAATTAGCACAAATATTTCTTCTTTACAACAAATACAACATGTGCTTGGTTTTATTGTATGCTAGCAGATGTAGCTCAGAAAAAAGACGTCAAAGTTTCAGATCAGTTCTCATTACAAGTACAGAGCTGAATGTATAGAGTCTGCTGTGTAAATAAAATATAATCTATTGGTTAATTTGAATGTTAGTAATTTGTTACTGTTGATCAGAACTAACTTTTTAAAATTACCAAGTTGAACATGTTTTCTGTTGTAAGAGAGAATTAGATAATTATGTATATGCAATAGTTATCCCTTTAAATCAGCAGTGTATTTTATTATCTTGGTCAGTTTTCTTTGAGAGAATAATCTTATTTTACTTCCTAATTGCTTGCAAAAATGGGATTAGTTATAAATATGACGATTTCTGTTTAATCACATAACCTTGACTTTTAAACACAGCTATAATCAGGAGCCTTTTCACATTTGCATCTTTTGATGCTGGTTGCAGTTATTTTGATTGGATTATAAATAGGTAGATATATTCTTATTATGTGTGATTTTTGCAGAGTTGTGCAGCTTCTCAGCAGGACAAGCAATCTTCTGGCACAATCACAGGTAATTCCTAAAACTTTGGTTAATTTTAAACTCAAATTGAACCCTTTAACTCCCAGATCAAATTTGTCATTCTTCTTAACATCAACCATAACAATTCTTATAATGTTAGTTCAGAGAATTCAGTATTGAATCAACTAATTATCCCCAAATTGATATATTTCTTTATTCTCATCACTCATCTGGTTGATATTATATTGATATTGTAAGGAGAAATTCTGTCTTGGTCACTCATGGGAGTAAAAAGGTTAAAGTAGCTAAATGTTTTTATCTACTTAAGGTAATGAAACAACAGAGTTAATGTTGCAGGCAAAAATTTGCTTTGGGCCGGACTCAGAGTAAATTCAGCTCAAGCCATCTGGCATTGAGTTAAAATGATATCTGTGAAGGACCCAGAACATAATTATGCCCAAAAGTGTAAATGCTGACTGTAAGTATTATTATCACTTTGGATGGCATTGAGAAAATATGTAGTAAAGAATAGCAACAAAATAGTCTGAACAATTAAAGGGGTTTAGCCGAAATACCCATTTTATCCTGCAAAATGTGCCACAATGCCCAAAAGGTTGATAGTAATAGTGTATTATTCTGAATCAAAATAAAATTTTCCTTTACAGATACCTCAGTAACTAAGAAAAGGCCGACCAGTCATAGTGTTACTCCTTCACCACGCACAAGAACAACAGCAGTTTCAAAGCCATTATCTCAAAAGCCTGTGAAAGAACCTAACAACAAAAAGAAAAGTGAAATTAAAAAAGAGAATAGTTATGATGCTAGTGATAGTGACTCTGAGCATGGCAGTGTAGATCGACTCAACACTGATGGTGACTATGGCTATGAGACTGGTTCCCTTGATGACAGTGATGTGTCGACAGGGGAATTGCTTAGTCCATCAGCCAAAGATGAGAATAAGACTATTTTAACAAATGAACAAAGTGGAAACCCTGCTTGTACATATACCGAAGTTGAATTTGGACAAGTTTTGGCGACAAAGGAAGGAGATGTTGTCATTAGGAATTCAGAGAAATTTGATTCAGGAGAAGGAGAGTTAGTTGTAGTGGATGGCAGTGCATTTGGTGATCGCAAATCTTACACCTATGCAGGAGATGAGTTTCGACCCTTGATTGTGACAGAACAAGGGGGAATTTCTGCCCCTGTTGAGGCAAAGAAGTATTCCAAGAGCTCTGAGGATGAAAATGGCAATGGTGATAGGCAAAGGGCTGGTGGAAGAAAAAAAATGGTGACAGAATATGAAGAAGTTCAGATTGTTGATGGTAGCTATGACAGAACGAACATAAAGGTGACATCTGCCAATCAAAAGAATAGGGCAGAGACTGATGACTCGCATACTTTGGGTCCACTTAATGATGTTTATGCTGTTGTGCAGAAAAAGCCAAAGGAAACTGCTTGTAATGAGAATGCAGAACAGAAACAAACTTGTACAACTCAAAGGCCCACTCTTGAGTTGGGTGATGTTGCCCCTGCAATCCCAGGTGGACGCAAAGACTCGAGTATGTATGAAGCAATAACAGGAGAGCTTCAGAATATGATAATGGCATGTGACGAGGTGTCACTAGATCAGATATCATCCAGGACTAATGCTAATGACAAGAAAGGTTCTCCAGGAGATAAAAAGGTTCCACCACCCATTCCGAAACCTTATTCAGGACCTGGCTTCAATTCTCTGGCATCAAAGGAACCAGTAATGAAAGAACTGTCAGAAAATTCTGAGAGAGGTACGGTGT